CTGCAGGTTGCTGAATCGTTGGCGCATACACTTGGTTCCTGATAATGGATCTGGAGAAGTGAAGCCGTCACAGAGGAAGATTAGCTGCAAACATAGACTCAAAGAGGGCCACATACCTTTAATTGACCATGACAGGAACCACCTCTGGGGCAAGAGTGCTTCCTTCTGAATTGTTTTCAAACCACTGGTGTCTTGATGAATGACTGACACAGAGATGCTACAAAACTATGAACAATATGCCGGATCTAGAAGTCTCTGCACATTGAAACTCCCTTGGAAAGCAGGATTCCTGACTCACTCCCATCAACCTCCTATCCCCATGCTCTTCCCAAACAGTTCCACCCTGAAGACAAAGCAGGCATCATGGGAGTGTGAATAGGAATATGTGGAGGTCCAGAGAGGGTTTGGGAGGCCATCCTAGGGAGGAGGCAGTGCCCCAGAGAGAGCTACTCTCTTGCCCACAATGTCAACTTGAATGGGTGAAAAGGACACCATATAGCAATGTGTATGTGTGTACCTGTGCATGCCAAATAGTTCCACATAGAGGGGCCACAAGGTGTGAGGTATTAGAGCCCAAACTTAGTTGTTGCTGGATCCTAACGGCTCCCTTGGGGGAGAGGGTAAGAAGGTACAGCATCAATGGCACAGACACCAGGAGTCAGTTGAAGGCAAACAACAAACTCGTTTATTTAATAATGGGGAAGGCCTTCTATACCCTCCTCCCAGCACCCAGTCTGTGTCACAATCTGGTGGCATTGCGTGATTGTCCCTCATTGGCTGGGCAGGATCAGGAACTCTGATAGCGCCTGTTGCTAGGCCCTCAGGCAGGTTCCTGATTGGCTCATAAGGAAGTACGTTATGTGCATGCCTTAGCAACTGGTCTGAGCCAATTTCCTCAACCCTATGGGTCTGTCCTACTACAGTTAGTGAGCGGAGACTCCACATGGAAGAAGTGAGGGCAGAAGTGTAGAAATAGAATTGGAGCCTTTGCAGGAGAAGGACATCCTAAGGACAGTGGGCAGTGGCAGAACTGGGAGATGACCACCACACAGGAAACTGATCAAATTGGCAAATGCATTAGGGTTACAAAAAATTCATCTCTCAGAGGAGGGAATAATGAATACAGAAAGGGAGAGTCTAGAATAAATTCATGGTTTCTATAGACAAACATAAATATGCACCAACACACACACACACACACATACACACACACACACACACACATACACACACACACACACACACACACACACACACAC